TGGCCCTACCCCCCTGTAGGCGTTAGCAACACTAGGACTAAAGGCGGCGGCCACATGTTAGCTGACATGGGGTTACACGCCTAGGCTGGGCCTGGCAGTTTGTAGGTGGCACATCAGGGAGATAGGGGGGTGTGTGTGTGTTTTACACATTTATATGCAGTAGTGCTGTAGCTCTGCTGGTGGTGCAGGTATTTATGTGGGGGGGGAGTGTTACAGGTGCACTGCTGGAGCTGTGCAGTGTGTGTGTGCGTGTGTGTGCTGGGGGGAATGTGTGTGTGTGTGGGGGTGTTGTCCGCATTCATGCTGTGTCTGCAGTGATACTGTGGGGCGCAATGCACCGCGCTGGCAACAGGACGCCCGGGGAACCTCGTAATTCTTCATGCAGGGGCCTGGTTAGTAATTCCCAAAGACAAACCTGACCTGGCAGGTTGTCTCACTTCCCCCCACCCACAATGAGCAATGCCGGGCGAGGCCTGCAGGGGGCGGGGCACTCAGCAGAAAGGCCATGGTGGGAACAGGCGGGCCCCAGCCCCATGGAGCAGGCAGTGGTTTAGCTGCCGTGCCACCCCCGTCCACACTTCTGCAGCAGAAAGGAAGCAAGAGGAGAGTGCCACCTGGTGGCTGCACTCTGCATGCGCACGGGCCCAAGCCGCATCAGCAGCCCAAGGGAAGAGCACGTGTGTGATGTGGTGGCTGTGGTCGGGCGGCGTGGGCTGGTCTCACGCCACAGAGCACCCTACATCATGGTGCCATGGCCCAAAGGCGGCAGGTCCCCCTGCAAAGCACGGGGGGCGGAGGAGCTAATGGCCTGAACATCTGCCAGGCTTCCCAGGCTCCTGCCACCACTGAGGAGCCGGTGCGCCCCACCCTTGCTGCCCCAGCCCGCATGACCTGCCACAAGCAGGAGGCCCCCCGGCGGTGCTGTGCAGTGCATCACATGGGGAATGTGGGGTCCCACCTTAGATGGACCGAGGGGGTCAGTGCTGGCCTGTCCCCTGGTGGGTGCCGGGTTAAAGCCCCGGCTGAGGGCACAGATGCACTGGGGAATGGCTGGGCTCACAACAGCTGCTGGAGGGCCCAGTGGGGAGGGGTTCACTGGCACTCTGGAGCCCTGGCTTTAAGTCCCGGTGGCCCCACAGATTCCATGTGCAGCTCTGGGCAAACCCCTGAGCTCAGAGCCTGACAGGTGTTAAGGCCCCTCACTGCCATTGCAAGCCCTGAGGCCCGGGGTGAGGCGAAAGCTGTCAGACGGCGAGGGGCCCGCCTACTGCAGTAAGTGGGGGGCCAGCGGAGGTGCTTAGCTAGCAGGACATGGGGTGCTGTGGGGAAGGCCTGATGTAACCCCCACTTGGAATACCAGGGAGTGCTGTGGCTCAGTCTGAGGTGCACTGGGGGTTGCACAGCACCTGCCACTAACCAGCGCCTACCTGTCTTCACCGCAGCAGCTGAAAACCCGGGTGTGAAGGCCAGCGGGCACAGCCTAGTGCTGCGTCCACCAGGTGGTGCTACAGGCATAAAAATGGCTTAGGGCCTGATGCACTGTCCTTGTGTGTCCAGAGCGGCTTTCCAGCGATGGGGTTTGGCTAGGGCTGGCGCAGTTAACGCACGCAATTAACTCACAAAAAATGAATCACGATTAAAAAAAAAATCGATCACGGTTAATTGCCGTTTTAATCGCACTGTTAAACAATAGAAAATCAGCTGAAATGTATGAAATATTTTTGGATGGTTTTTCTACCTTTTCAAATATATTCATTTCAATTACAACATGGAATACAAAGTATCCAGTGCTCACATTATATTTATTTTTGATTACAAATATTTGCCCTATAAAACTGATGAACAAAAGAAATGGTATTTGTCAATGCACCTCATACAAGTACGGTAGTGCAAGCTCTTTAGCGTGAAAGTGTTGATTTTTTTTGTTACATAACTGCACTCAAAAACAAAACAGTGTGAAATGTTAGAGCCTACAAGTCCACTCAGTCCTATTTCTCGTTCAGCCAATCGCTAAGACAAACAAGTCTGTTTACATTTACGGGAGATAATGCTGCCTGCTTCTTAGTCACAATGTCACCTGAAAATGAGAACAGGCATTTGCATGGCACTTTTGCAGCCGATATTGCGAGGTATTTACGTGCCAGATATGCTAAACATTCGTATGCCCCTTCATGCTTCAGCCACCATTCCAGAGGACATGCTTCCATGCTGACGACCCTCGTTAAAAAAAGAAACGTTAATTCGTGACTGAACTCCTTGGGGGAGAATTGTATGTCTCCTGTCCGTTTTACCTGCATTCTGCCATATATTTCATGTTATAGCAGTCTCGGCTGATGTCCTAGCACATGTTGGTCCTGCTTCTGCCGATGTCTGGCCATGGGGACCTTGGGTACCCATACACAGGCTGTGTCACCCATACTCATGTCCATAGACACACCCCTCCGTGAGCACACTCGCCATGTTTCAGACTCCATACACACCAGCACTAAGGTTTCCAACTTTCTGATCACACAAACCAGAACATCCGCTGCCCTGCCCCCAGCCCGGCTCCCTCCATCCCCCCTCCTTCCGTC